ACTCTGTTCCTATTTCTAATACCTCCCTTCGTGATGTGATGAGGAATTATTCTTTATAACCAAATTATGCATTCAGAAGAAGTGACATGATGCTTTAGAAGTTTTTTTTATTTTATTTTATTTTATTAGAGTTAGCACAACAACAAATAGTTTATTGATTTAATATCTAAAGAACGCCGCTGTTTGTCTCTAGTCCGATATTAGGAGCCAAAGTGCCCACTGCAATGTAACTATGTGAACAGTCAATGTAGTGCAATGATGGGCTTCACTGTTATTGCAGCCAACCAGCACTTCCTTGATAAAACTACTTTTTTTTAGAAAAATCTTGACTAAAAATGTGATTTAAAAGGTGATTGAAAGAATAAGCTAAAAGTGTTCATTTGTTATTGCCGTAGTTTCCTTTAATAGATTTAATTTAAACACTAGTTTTGTCATGTGGTCCATACTCCTTACCAGTTGGTGGCAGTAATGCTTCCTTCAGTAATTTGCCAACCACCATTAAAATTAAAACGAAGAAGAAGAATTTCTGAGCACGAAGAAGAACAAACCCCAATCTCTATGGAAACGAGAGCTATTTGTTGTCTTCAGCGGTAAATCCAGGTTATTACCTTCTTGTTGTAGATGTTACTTACAATACTCACTAATTAATTTATTTCTCTTCGGTTTAYTGACATTAAAACCGTCCTGTTTGCAGGTTTCATGTTTTTTGGGGGGGAGTGTAAAGTGTGTTATTTAGTCGTAAACCCCTCCTCTCTGTCGTGGATGTGGGCTTCATCATGGCTAACTTTTGGAATACGGATACCGGAGACTCAGTGTATCGGTCCCGAGATTCTGTCAAAAATCTGAAAATAAAGTAAGTAGCGAAATGTCACTTTTGTTACATTGTTATACTTTGATTTATTGTGGGTTTTACTTTAGAGTACGTATAGAGAAGGTGACCACCGCAGCAGCACTCTCTCAGCACCTTCAGCACCAGGTTCTGTCCAAACAAGAAGGCAGGAGGGACATTGAACTGAAGACCCTCACATCACAAGYCCAGACAGGTACAAACACCACTGAAAAGAAAAATACTGATTATTAATGGAAGAAAAACATGACGATCGCTTTGGATGCTGWCCTGTATTTACTGTATTTTTAAGAAGGCCTCTTGTTGATAAATATTTTCATTCTTGTGATAAAGTGAAGGGATTTCGGACAGATTTGTGTAATTGGTTTTTTTTGCAAATGATTCCACATCTTTCTCAGCCCATATCAAAAAAAGATATAACATTTGGTGCTGTGCTTCCAGATAAGAAAGGAGAAATTTGCTGCAGCACCACACGCAACATTTTTTATCCACAAAGCTAGAATTTTAAAGGTTTCGCCCAGCTTCAGGTCTTCATAAATGATTTTGAAATGTATAAAAAAGTCCCTAAAAATGATGAGAACAAAGAAAGCAAAGTTACATTCCATGTTCTCCGTTGCATAATGAAGCAAATATGTAAAAAAAATCATTTTTGTTTAACTTGTTTACTCCTATTTTTTATTATTATTCTTGTATTTATTAAGATATTTTCTATTTGTTCAATTTATTCTGCGTATTTGCTGCTCCTGCATGTTCCTTAAACTTTCAGACAATAATGACAGAAATGTTCAATACATGTTTAACTTTTTTATGTACTATTGTTCTGCCATGATAGTTTCACCAATAAAAAAAAGCATTTCGATAACTTTAATATTATTATTTTGTTGACAGGTGATAATGAAGAGGAAGTTGTCGTGGGCTGGCAGGAGAAACTCTTCAGTCAGGTGGATTTTTAAGTGTTATTGCCTGTTATGATTATTATAACCAATGATATTTCCATTATAATTTGACTTTTACTGTCTTTTGTTTCAGTATGAAATGGAGCTGTTTCAGAATGAGGCAGCATGTCAGACACCTTTGGACCACCAGTACCACGCAGAAGTYAAGGCCCTTCTTAAGGCTAAGGGCCAGCGTAATCACAGGATCTTCACGTACACGGCTCATGACCGCTACACCAACTGTCTGCCACTCCAACAAATGGTATGTCAGTCGCAGGCATCACATGTCTGTAATTTCTTAAAGCTAAATATTTTTTTGTTTTTGTGTGTATATGTGTTGGTGTTGTCTGCTTTTAATCCTGAACGCAGGATTCTGATTTGCTGTTCACAACAAAATCGAGTCCCACATTCCTGGCCCAGAGGATGGCCAGCATGAGACACCGACGACAAGAAAGACGCACCACGTATGTGAAGGAGCGCCGTGTTTTATCAGATCGTCTTGTTCGGGGACTTGTTTTGTGTTCTTTGTCATTTTAAAATTCTCAGCGTTTCTGCATGCGTTTGTAAAGTGAAGATGAATTTAGACATTCATCGAACTAAATGTTGTTTTTTAAATTCTCAAAAGGTACACGTGAAATCAAAACGGGGATAATGTAATCTTTGTGGTATGTTTCGCAGGGATAGCAGCATCCCTAAGTCAAGAATCATCAATTGGGAGCCCACAGAGGAGTTTGTGAGCAGAAGTCACGTGGTGAATAACRCCATGCAGACCATGCACATCATGGGAGACCTGGGCCCACCTGAAATGTACGTTCCTAAATATCTGTACTGCCTATACACTGCAAAGAATGTCCACCTAACCAAGTTTTAAAATCTTATATCAGCCAAAAAGTCTTTGATCTTGTTTTGGGACCGATTTACTAAACAAGAACTGATTGTGTAAGAATAATAATCTTGTTTTCAGAAAGTGTAAGATTATTTGTCTTGTTAATTTGAAAATTTGACTGAAATTAAGTCAAAAATTTCTGCCACTGGAGTAAGAAATTTTTACTTTGTAAGATTCTTGAAATACTTGATTTGACTCAGTTTTTTTCTTATTTCAAGAATCTTACCAAGTAAAATTTTCTTACTCCACTGGCAGAAATCTTTGACTTAATTTCAGTCAAATTTTCAAATTAACAAGACAAATAATCGTACACTTTCTGAAAACATGATGATTATTCTTACACAATCAGTTCTTGTTTAGCAAATCAGTCTAAAAACAAGATCAAAAAGACTTTTTGGCTGATATAAGATTTTAAAAGTTGGTAAGATGGACAKTTTTTGCAGTGTTCTGTGCTGAAAGGTAAACACTCATGCATTGATTTATTTGGCTTTACCTGATAATAAATGTAGGATTATGTTGCATCTTGTTCAAAGGAAACAGTTTTGTTATGTAAACTAATTTATAATTTTTGTCTTATGATGGGTTTTATTGAATATTGATTGTGATCAACCTTCTGTCTTTTTTTTCTTCATTCTTCTAAGGCTCGGGCAGAAAGAGAACGAGTGTTTGTTGGCAACTATAAAAACAGACGGCAGCGGAACCATCATTGTAAAGCCTGACTTCAACAAAGGCAAAGAGCCTTACAGGCAAGTTCACAAAACATTTACTACAATACAAATAGTTCAGTAAGGACAATGAAAGTGATTTTTCTGTGCTCTGCAGGATTACTACAGAGGGCGAGAAAAGAGAAGTGTGGCGTCTAACTTTGGAGAACGTATCCACAGCCATGAAACCAGAGGATAAAGAAAGGGAGCAGAACATGTACAAAGACGTCAGTAAACATTTTCTTTGGTTCTTAGAAATCTGCAGGTGAATGTGGAGCCAGTCAACAGATATAAWCAGATTCACTTGTTCACCCTTTGTGTTCGCAGCTCTATGGGAAACACAAGGAGTACCTCAGTAGTCTTGTTGGACAGGACTTTGAGATGGTASAATATTTATGACTCGATTGCTTTTAATCTGATCAGTAAATTTTACCAGCTTTCTTTTATTATCATATGAGCCCAACGGTTTTGCATTAAGTTTAAAATGAATAAATAACTATTAGATTAAATTGGTTCATTGTGGTCTTGCAAACATTTCCGCATTAATAAGATGTTTGTCCTTCAGCCTCCTGTTGGCACTCTGCGTTACCTGATGAATGGAGAGATTGGTGAGTGAAACAGCTGAGATCATGTCAAATATCTAATCAAACCAGGGGCGGTTCTAGGGGCCGGACCACAGGGGCATTGGCCCCAGCTGAATTCTGATTGGCCCCCTGAAGTACCTCTGACCTGTCACTCATTTGTCCTTTACCTGGGGGTGATGATGGTGTATGTAGTTCCGTGTTCAAACACTAGATGCGCTAATGAGTCAAATAGTAAAGTACWGAATGAATCAAACTTACAGAATTCTTCTCTTCTTAAACAACAATCCTGAAAAAAGGTATTTCAGCTGACAAATGACGGCTGGATTTTCTCACATGTTGTGTGTTCGAAACTATTTTATCTATGTTCAGTAAAATGTATGAAAAACCGGTGAGGAGAATTTACTGTGCAAGATTTTTGGTACCACTTTACAATCAAGCTCCCCTTGGCTTATAAAGAGTTTATAGATAGGTTATTAATTCATTTGTAAAGTTTACACTACATGAATCATTAATAAATGAAGCTGGACAATTTTGTCTCTTTCTCATCCTTAATTATTGCATAATAAACCCTTATTAATAATTTTTAAAGTTTTTACAGATTAATCAATAATCTATCCTTAAATTCTTTAAAAGSCATCTATAAGGGGGGCCTTATTGTAAAGTGGTACCTTTTTTAAAAAAAATTGCATTACATTATAAGTGTTTGAAGTGTAAAATGTATACACTGGGAATTTGTGTGAAAGGATGTTGAACAAAGACTTGGCACCTCTATGAATATTGGGGTCCCTTGATGGCCCCTTACTCAGGAAAATCCTAGATCTACCACTGAATCAAACACACATAGCATTAAAAACTGACCCCTTTTTTTCTCTGTATAGTCTCAGCTCAAGGTTTTGAGTATGACAACCTATTTATCCGCTTCGTCATGGATCTTCCCAATAGTGAGTCATTAATTTGTATTTTTTTTGTTCTGTTTCATGTTACTGATCTCTCAGTTCGCTGTATTAACACACATGATATTTATTTAAGACTGGTCCAGCTTGCCATGTCAGCCTCTGTCAGGAGTTACCCAAACCTGCCGAACCAAATCRGTGGGGAAGGTGTGTGTTTTCTGTAGGAAACTGGTTATTAGCTCCAGAGGAAGAGAAATGAAAGTTATTATATCCTGTATTTGATTTGTGCCAACAGGAAGACGTAGCTTTCTTCAGCTTCCCCTTCAACTTTGAGGCTTTTTACACGAGTGAAAAAGAGAGTGAAGGTAAGCTGCAGCCTGTGAAGTGGTTCGCTGCATTAAAAACTTACATTCATGAGTTTCTTTTTGTRATTTCAGAATTAATCGCCCAGTGGCCGGTGCTTTACTTCAAGGTTCTTTCTGTTGACTCCTGGCAGCGCTATCGGATTGAGGGTTACGGCTATCTGGTTTTTCCTGCTCTGTCTGGTATGTTGCAYCGAAAAAAGCTGCAAAAATTACTTATTATTATTTATTGTTTACAGTTCAACTGGTCTTAATGCCTTGCGTCACGCATTCTTGTGTCTCTGTGCACACCAGGTAAGCACACAGTGACGTGTCACAGCTGGAGACCTGTTCAGAACGGGACGGTTTCTGAGATGAGGCGCTTCTTTATCGGAGATGCTACAGAGCTCGAAGAGCTCAGCTACGTTCGAGTACCTGGAACCTTTAAGGTGGGCTCAGAACTGGTGGGCTGCGCGCGAAGCACAGCAAGTTTATGAAAACTAAACCATTTTAAAACTTAACTTTTGTGATCGCACAGAGCTTCTCCAGAAAACTTCCACCTGCTTCACTAAAAATGACTTTAAATTTAAAATCTGAAATTTATTTTTGAAATTGTTCTTTTTATGGTTATTAAAGACACAAGTGGGTCCATATCAATATATTAAATCAATATATAAAATGCATGTTTAGACGAAACAAATCCAGTAGATTACAAATAAATTTTTAGAAAAATGAAAGCACTCGTTGTTTTATTGATTTAAACTGTAAAATCTTTGTGTCTGGCTTCAGGGGGAGAGGCTGAGTCGCTTTGGTTTCAGCACCAAAACCACAGGAAGCGTCACCTTTAATCTGCACTGCCTCCAGCAAGCCAGGTAAGCAGGTGGTGGATTAAATTATGGCATGCATGCAGCAAACAAAAAATAAAAATGGGAGTAAAAACATTTCAGCAATTTGTTTGTTGCTATAAAAGATCTCTCGTCCACCTCCGCTGAGGTGGACGAGGTCGCTGAAGTGGTTAAAAACCTCCTCGGTGGCAGGGCCCCGGGGGTGGATGAGATCCGCCCGGAGTTCCCTGTTTAGAAAGGGGGACCGGAGGGTGTGCTCCAATTACAGCGGGGTCACACTCTTAAGCCTCCCTGGTAAGGTCTATTCAGGGGTCCTGGAGAGGAGGGTCCGTCGGATAGTCGAACCTCGGATTCAGGAAGAGCAGTATGGTTTTTGTCCTGGTCGTGGAACACTGGACCAGCTCTACACCCTCAGCAGAGTCCTGGAGGGTGCATGGGAGTTCGCCCAACCTGTCTACATGTGTTTTGTGAACTTGGAGAAGGCCGAGTGCGAAGTGGCCGGGGTGAGGCTCAGTGCCTCCAAATCCGAGGCCATGGTCTTGAGCCGGAAAAGGGCAGAGTGCCTTCTCCGGGTCAGGGGGGTCGCCCTGTCTCAAGTGGAGGAGTTTAAGTATCTGGGGATCTTGTTCACGAATGGGGGAAGAACGGAAGATCGACAGGCGGATTGGCGCAGCGTCTGCTGTAAAGCGGGCGCTGTACCGGTCCGTCGTGGTGAAGAGAGAGCTGAGTCAGAAAGCGAAGCTCTCGATTTACCGGTCGATCTACGTTCCTACCCTCATCTATGGTCATGAGCTTTGGGTCATGACCGAAAGAACGAGGTCCCGGATACAAGTGGCCGAAATGGGTTTCCTCCGCAGGGTGGCTGGGCTCTCCCTTAGAGATAGGGTGAGAAGCTCGGCCATCCGGGAGGGACTCAGAGTAGAGCCGCTGCTCCTCCATGTCAAGAGGAGCCAGTTGAGGTGGCTCGGGCATCTGGTAAGGATGCCTCCTGGACTCCTCCCTGGTGAGGTGTTCTGGGCACGTCCCACCGGGAGGAGGCCCCGAGGAAGACCCAGGACACGCTGGAGGGACTATGTCTCTCGGCTGGCCTGGGAACGCCTTGGAGTTCCCCCGGAGGAGCTGGAAGAAGTGGCTGGGGAGAGGGAGGTCTGGGCCTCCCTTCTGAAGCTGCTGCCCCCGCGACCCGACCCCGGATAGGCAGAAGAAAATGGAAATGGAAATGGTTTGTTGCTATATGGCTTATGATCACATTAAGAGTTCTGAAATAACCCACCTGCATCCATGACAGGTTACCTGTTGACATATCAAAAGTCTTAATAAAATAAACTGACTATATGAAATCAAATGATGATTTAACTATTTTGTGTGATGGTCTGTGAAATAWGTGTGGTTCATTGTTTGTTTCAGAGCCTTCGTCGACGCTGCCGTTGTGAAAAAAAGGAGATTGAAGATTGTGGACCAGCTGGGAGGAATCAGTCAGCAGGGAGACGTCTGCAATGTTTTGGGTAAACAGACCGACTTTGACTGTTCTGTTTCCAGCGACGTTACTTTGTGTTAAAGTCGACACGAGGTTAACTTTGTACATTTATTTTCATTAAACTGAAAATGCACGAACATTTTGTCACAATTTGTTGTTAAAGAAAATATATTGTTTAGAACCTTCTCCTACTTGTTTAAGCAATATTAGAAATTTTTACTTTATGTTTTTATTTGTCTGTTTTCCTTCTGCCAGAGGCTTTCCAAAGAGCCTACAGGAAACTGCAGGAAGCCAGAGAAAGTCTTTCCCAAGATCTCATCTGCTCCACCTCCCAACTCCAACTGGAATCTTCTGCAGGGGATTCCAAAAATTTGTTGAAATAAGAAGTTATATTATCATATTTTATTTAGCGAGTTTTACTCTTAAATTAAATCATCCTGATGTTTAGCTGTGTGTCTATATTTAGATACTAAGCTTTATGTCAGTACGACTAACAGTTCTGATATGTATTGTTTCACCTGAACTTAACTTTTTGTAGTTACTGTTTCAGTTATTGTTTCAGATTCAAGAAATCACAGGAACATATTTACTTTTTAAAAAAGTGTAATATTTTTTACTTATCAGAGTTATTTTTGCTGTCACATAAAAAGGTTGGATTTTCAGTGTGTGTTTTGTATTTTTTATGTGATTATAATCAAGTGTCTTACAACACAAGACTGATTTGATGAAGACAACTTACAAACTCTAGGGATACTAGAGCCTTAACGTTAGAAATGATTCATGAGTCAGTAAACTGTAAAAACAAGGTAATTTTTGCAGAAAAACTTCATACAGGGACAGATGCAGTTCAAAGTAAGTCTATTGAACATTTTAATTTAGTCCACTTACAGTAATTAATCAAAACTAACAAGTTTCTGTGTCAGCTTATTAATTAAAAATATGTTCATAACGACTTCATACATTAAATAATGCAAAGTATAGTTAATCCTTTGGAAACACAACTGTCTATATATGTAGGCCTACAATAGTACTGTTTTATAAAACATTGTTTTCTATTTTGTACATTCTCTATTATTATTTATTTTGTTTTTCTTATATAACTATCTGTCAGAAATAGTAAAAAAAACTAAAACAAATACATAAATAAAGCAATTACAAGAGTTTTATTATTATTATTATAAAAAACGCAAAGTATTGTTTTTTTCTATTTTTAAAACAAAGCTAAAAACCTGAGAACTATAAAATCCTCCAATGCCTTGTCATTGAACGCACCATTTGCCTCGGCGTTAATGAGAAGTTTTCCAATTTCCCGTGACAGTGAACGCGCCATTCTCCATCTTCCTCCAACCAAAAAAAGGAGTGGACTGCGAACATTTTCTCTGCAAATCACGCACGACCAGGTAATTTAAATATATTTTAGTTCAACCATACTATTAAGTTATTATCATTTTATGTGACATTGTGTCGAATATTCATTGTTTGGCTGCATAGGCGTCATTTCCGTCAAACAGCAGCGATGGAAACTGGGCCGCTAGTCCTTCTCTTCTTCTGTGTGTCAGATTTAACCAAAATWTTATTGGAAACATAACCGAACCCTGTTTGCTAAAGCCAGAAACCAAGTAGGTCTGATCAGATTCGTCGTTTGAAGTCATTAGCTTGGAAATTTCTTGAGGTATTTGGTGCAATTAGCCTGTAGCTAACCGGCTAGCTAAGTGGGAGTGCTAGGATTCAGTCCTGTTTCACAGAGGTTAAACAATCACATCAGCTCTGCAAACAACAGTGTCACGACTCATACTGATATATCTTAACTGTGTTAAATTGGAAATTGATTGGAACAAAGTGCAAACATGCCAACCTCTTTTATATATGGGATTTTTGCATGCAGTGCAGTTCAAAATCTTAGCATTGTCTATCTTTAAAATATTTGAACATGATTGAAACGATTCGTATGCTTGCTTGCAGACKTAAAGTACTACAAACATGACAGACTCCAAATATTTCACTACAAACAAAAAAGGTAAGCAGAAATGTAACTTAAATGGCCAGTGATGGAGAAACAACAGTTTTGAGTCACTTTGATTCTCTGTAAACATTTACTTAAGGTCAGTCTTATGTGTTTGTGGGGTTTTCATTTCTTGATGTGATTTCTTTTTCAGGGGAGATTTTTGAGCTGAAGGCCGAGTTGAACAATGAGAAGAAGGAGAAAAGAAAAGAGGCGGTGAAGAAGGTCATCGCTGCTATGACCGTTGGCAAAGATGTCAGGTACATGAGCATAGTTTGGCTGTTAATTTGAAAGCTAAACGCTTCCTAAAACCTGTGCACCGTTTAATTCGAACAAGTCTTGTTCCTTTGCTTTCAGTTCTTTGTTCCCAGATGTGGTGAACTGCATGCAGACGGACAACCTGGAGCTGAAGAAGTTGGTTTATCTTTACCTGATGAACTACGCCAAAAGCCAGCCTGACATGGCCATCATGGCTGTGAACAGTTTTGTCAAGGTAAGGATTTAAATTGAACCTTTATTGTCAGATTCTACACTTACACTGAAATAAAACAAGTTTGGTGTTTTTCTTTAACCAGGAGAGTGTTGGACACAATGTAGTCAAGAAAAACACTAATTTTAAGGATTAAAAAAAAACAGCAAAGCAAATATTTTTGGCCATGTTTAGTTGTAAATAAATGTATTTTTTTTTTTTGTTTTTTTGCTGTACAGGACTGTGAGGACCCCAACCCTCTGATCCGTGCTCTGGCTGTCCGCACCATGGGCTGCATCCGTGTGGACAAGATCACAGAGTATCTGTGTGAGCCGCTGAGGAAGTGCCTGAAGGACGAGGACCCGTATGTGAGGAAGACCGCAGCCGTTTGCGTGGCTAAACTGCACGACATCAACGCTCAGATGGTGGAGGACCAGGGCTTCCTGGACTCTCTCAGAGACCTCATCGCTGACTCAAATCCCATGGTTGGTGTTCCACGTCGCAAAAGGATTTAGTTTCATTTTCAGTTCTAGTTATTTGAGTTAAACGGAGGTTTTCCTGAAAGCKAAATGTTGATTTGTGCCGTGAAGGTTGTGGCCAACGCGGTGGCTGCTCTGTCTGAGATCAGCGAGTCTCACCCCAACAGCAACCTGCTGGACCTGAATCCGCAGAACATCAACAAGCTGTTGACGGCCCTCAACGAGTGCACCGAGTGGGGACAGATCTTCATCCTGGACTGTCTGTCCAACTACAACCCCAAGGATGATCGTGAGGCTCAAAGGTAGCTCTTTAAAGTGTTGATTTATACTGGTTTTAAACTGTAATACTGGAAAGAAATAAAATAATTGTCTGATTCAGAAAACCCTTTTCTCTTTTTTTTACCTTTCACCTTTCCTGGTTTTTATCTGAAAGCATCTGCGAGCGAGTCACTCCTCGGCTGTCTCACGCYAACTCAGCTGTGGTCCTGTCAGCTGTCAAAGTCCTGATGAAGTTCTTAGAGCTGCTTCCTAAGGACTCAGACTACTACAACACATTGCTGAAGAAATTATCCCCCCCACTTGTTACCTTGTTGTCTGGAGAACCCGAGGTCCAGTATGTGGCTCTGAGGAACATCAACCTCATCGTTCAGAAGAGGTTTGTAATCAAAGTTACAGTCATTTCTTTGCCCAAAATGTAATAGTTTGGTGCTAATATTTATAACGTGGTGGAAAAAGCWGACAAAATAATAAAAATAATTTTCACCTCAATAATGCCTTAATAATTTTAATATGCAGTGCTGTTTTCAACACTCCTCAACCTATTTTTTCATTTCTGTTCAGACCAGAGATCCTGAAGCAGGAGATTAAAGTGTTCTTCGTCAAATATAACGACCCGATCTACGTGAAGCTGGAGAAACTGGACATCATGATTCGCTTGGCCTCTCAGACCAACATTGCCCAGGTATACGTTATGAAAAGCACCCACAGAAATCTTTATTATGAGGATATTTTCCCTTTGTTTTAGCCTGGCCCTTGCCTTCCTACGCAGCTCCGCTCAATTCTAGTTTCYCTTCACTGCTCCRCCTGGCATCCGGGCCAATCAGAGAACAGAAYGTCRATTTTCTGCGCAGTGTCTGCTAGTTATTTTAGCATACGGCAGTGGAGGAAGTGAATGAAGTCAGTCTGTGTTGATAAGGCTTCCAAATTAAAATAAATTTGTCTGACAAAGCAGCAGCTCTCATTTACAGTCGTCTCGTTCGGCTCGGTACTTCTCTCAGCAGGGTTGTTGACAGCACACAGTTTCCGGTTAGCTTCTTAGCTTAGCCTCCTTTACAGCGACATACATCACGGCCAACCGATCCAATCATTTTAAACTTCAACAGAGGCCACGCCTCYAGCAAGAATCACTTCTCTATAGCRGAGAGTCCAGACCCTCRTAWGAAGCAAAGTGAAGGACAAGAGTGGTTTTAACCAGGCTAGCTTTAAAGAGGCTTTCTTTTAAAAACATACTCAAAACATGTGTGATCAAACAGAGGAAATCTATTCAATTCTTCGGGGTCCAATAAAACCAGTATTTAATTTCAATATTTATCTTTTTGAATATATCCCTTTTTTAGGGGTGCAACGATACAGAAGACTCACATTTCAGTTCAATGCTTGAGTTTAGTTTAATATTTTTTGATACAAAAAGAGAGAAATTTCCATGCCCTTTTWAAATTGGAATTTATTGAAATTAATTACGAACATTTGTTTAACCTCAAAAGTACAGTTTCTCAGTGGATCTGCGCTCGACAAGGCAGCCTAGGTGGAGTAGTCGAACACAGATCCACTGATCCTTCAACACGGCGCATCTTCAAAAAGGATAGTTGATGAAATAAATATAAAAAATCTGTATTGTTCGATACATAGTGTGTATTGCTGCACCTCTACTCTTTATGTTAACTGTAATAAATCAAATTAAACTAACAAGCTAAACTGTGTTTAAATGTTCTTGCAGGTGTTGGCTGAGCTGAAGGAATATGCCACAGAGGTTGATGTCGACTTTGTGCGCAAAGCTGTGCGAGCCATCGGACGCTGTGCCATCAAAGTGGAGGTGAGAAATGCTGCTGTTCATTTATATATAT